TATAAAGCTTTATATTTGATTTTTAAAAGCAACAACATTTGGGAGGTATGGGGGTGCTATTTGCAATTCAATATATAAAATATCTTTACTAACTTCAGTAGTCATGATCTATCAGTATTGTGCTGAATGCTACTTTCCAAAGATTTTTAGGCAAACTTACTATCTTTCTTTTTTTCTAAAAAAAAAAATTCCCCTTGATGAGCATTTAGCAGGTTCTTTGAATATGGATTTTTTCTTCATTTCGGGCAAAATTTCTCACCTAATTTCTTTGATAAATCCCTACTAATTCGACATGGATCTCTTATTTTGACCCCCTACTTACTTTAGCTTTTAACTTATTTCATCTTTTCTTCTATCTTCTAGGAAATGTCCTCACACTTACTTTCCGACTTTCCTGTTGGAGTTTATGTATTTGTTTGATAGCATTCTGTTCTTTTTCAGGGATGCAAATATCTTCTATTTCTATAACTTTGTTTCTGCATATTTATTTTGTTCTCTGTTAAAGACTTCCTTTAAATTTGCAGTGAGCTTTTGGTTCTTGGTCAAATTTAACTAAAAACTTAGAAGCTATTTATCCAGGTGGAATTTGTCCAGATGTGGCCTTCATAGCAGGCATTATGGCACAGATCCCCACCATATTCCTACATACTTATAGACCTTTTTTCTTAGGAGGTTAATTTTTGTAGAGAGGAATATACTCTACGATCCTGTCTGGAGGGATATAACTCTAGCTTCCATATTCTCTAAGGTAAATATGGTAGGCACTAGGGTCAGGTGGGATTCCTCATCTATTATAGATATTTATTCACTTAATTCCTTTGTTTTTAGAGAGAGGGCCCTCTGCTCACTGTGCCTAGATTCTTAGAATTCATAATCCCTTTGCTTCAACCTCACCAGAAAGTAAATCTCCAATTTCTTGTCAGGTGGTAAAGATTTAGTTTCTTGGCTAGGTGAGAGGATAGGTCTAGGGAATCTAACTTTTTCTAATATATAGTGTCCATCCTGTTTTAGCCCCATCTGCACCTACACCTTCAAAAATAGTGAATCTCTCCATTCGTTAAGCCCTTTGGAGGGTGCTGAGGCATGAACAGGCCTGCTTCTTATTCTCTCCTCTTGCAGGCAGTTGGCTTTCAGTTTTCTCAAATTTTCTAAATCGGGTAATATCTATTCATCTGTTTATTATTATCCAAAACTTTTCTTGATATTGCTCATCATCTTTTAACAGACTCCTTTTGTCCTTGTCCTTATGTTGAAAATGGAAGTCCTATGATTCGCTTAAAAAGTATCACCCTCCTTTATATGATAATATAACTTGTTATGAATCATTTTTTCAAAAAGGAGACTATGTTTTTGGTGACATTGTGAAAAAATGGGATTTTTAAGTAATTTCTACTCTAAAAAAGTATTTGCACACTATTCTTCTGATTGCATTTAGAAATCATAAGATTTTTCTCATTTGTTGCTATTCAGCTATTACTTGGGTCATTTTCGTGTCCTGTTCTTTGTTACAAACTGTATCTTATCAATCTTTCCCACCCGGTTTTTTCACTTTCAGCTTAAAATTGAATTATACATGCTCTTTTTGGCTGAGTCAGATGGTGCAATCACATAACTATGGCTAGAATTAAGCTGACTTGCTTGCTACAAATTTAATTGATGTTAAGATATCTAAATAACACTGATATAATACATTGGTCTAATATAAATTTAATTTCAGAGAACTTCATCTACAATAAATTTGTCACCAGGAGAAGTGGAAGAAGAAGATGATGATGAAAACACTTGTGGGCCCTCAGGACTCTGGGAAGCGTTGACTCCTTGCAATGGATGTAGGAACCTTGGCTTCCCTATTCTTGCACAGGTAACAGCTTGCTTTTCTTAAGGTACAATAAAACATAAAAACGGTTGCCTATGTTTTTAAGTAAATCCTTTTCCCCTCTGGAAATCCAGTTAGTATCTTGTTCGTTTTGTAATTTTTCTTCAGTTAAGGTCAGTAATATATTTATATAACTTGCTATACATATATGCATATTCAAACACATATTTTACATAATTTTATGTGGTTGTTTTATTTTGGTCATGATGCTAGTTCCAGAAAAATGGAGTTACCCAATTTAATATTTATGATCCAGAAGTATTTATTAAAAAATGCTCTTTTGAAATTAAGCATAATTTGTATTAAAATAATAATAAAATGATTTACAAAGAAACATACTAGGGCTCTATAAGAGCATAGTGATGTTTTTCTTAGCACAATGGAACATTGTAGAATAATGTGTGGCATTATTAGTACAACCCCAAAATGAGAGGCAAACACTAAAACATTGGCTATAATTTTGAACCCATTTTGCTCTTCATTAAGTCAATTTTAATTCGATGGTATCACTTTCAAATTCCTATTGTCTGCTATGGACCACAAGTCCTTAGGGGAGTTTCACGAAAAGTAAAATAAGCCAAACAGAGTGAAGAAATTGGAAACCAAAATGAAATATTTCTACACAAAAATGAAAAAGCATGTTATTAAAAAAAACAAAAAACAGTGTAATAGCAAAGGTACGTCTGTGTACCGACATAAAGCATGGGGAGAAAAATAGTGCAGGACAGGAAATAATCCACAGTAATTGTCCAGAATAGTGTTATATCTCAAAACTATCCTTTCCTATTTTGTAACAAATATGAAGCAATTGTATCTAAGGAACCATAACATTTTTCATGTCAATGGACAATTTGGTGATACCCACTCGAATTCCAATATTAATTTGTTGTGGAAAACTAAATAGGATAATCAAATCAACATATTGTACTTAAAGAATCTCTTCACCTTACTATGAACTGTTATAGGACTTTAAGACAATTTATCCTAACTATTACATAATTGTTATCAATTTGTGCTGGGCTGTGAGTTCCATAAAAGTAAGGAGCAAGTATTGCTCACCATCCAAGGTCTAATGCCATCACAGTCCCTGGTATATTGTCAGAATTAAGTAACAAATGTGTATATTCTAGGGTTTCATTTCTTCACTTAGGGTTTTTACATCCAAATGCCCACCATCACTATTTGGTCACTGTTGTTCACATCAATCACTTCTCTTTTGTATGAAGTCACTCTCAAACATCGGTGCACACTTGAATGTAGTATACTCCTCCTTGGACAACTGCCGCTGCAGTTTCCCCACAGGGGTATTAAACATGCCCAACTGTGGGCCTCTTTAGGGTGTGTGATACAGAAACATGATTGGCTGTCCATGGCTCTCTTTTGAGACGGCTCCTCCACATCTCCTTATCACAGCTCCCAGAGCTTCCTGTTGCCCACTCTTTTTTTTATTTATTTTTATTTATTTTTTTATTAGTTAAGGTATTACAAAGCAGCCAAAAATTAAAATCTGAAGGTTTTAAATGGGTCTATAATGTGAATTTAGAAGTATGGTTCTAAAAACTATGGTCATGAATAAAAACTCAGGGCAAGTATTCTGAAAAATGATTATGGAGAAAAATTCCAAAAAAAAAAGTTCCTTTTTTTTTTTTTTTTAACCACAGCATAGTATTCCATTGTGTAGATGTACCACAGTTTTCTAATCCACTCATCTGCTGATGGGCACCTAGGCTGTTTCCAAATCTTAGCTATGGTGAATTGTGCTGCTATGAACATAGGAGTGCATATATCCTTTCTGATTCTGTTGCCCACTCTTTGTAACAGGTGGGCTAGTGGTGGTCTTCTGCAGGTGTCTTTGTCTCTGAGTGACTGAGGACAGGGTGGGGGCGCTGATTACTGACTTCGCAGGCTTAGAGATGATTGCTCCTGTACCAGACTGTGCCCTGTGCGGGTCTGCAGATCTCCGGTCCTCGCACATGTCAGGGTGCACAGAAGTCCAGGTGTGAGGCATTGCTGTTCACTCGGTGAGGACTTCCTTTTAAGCCAGACACACTGGTTCGTTAAAAAATCTCTGCTCTTTGATTTAGCAATCTCAACTGCCAATCCCTCTGCTCCTCTTTTCTGGAAACCAAATTCTCCACCTACGCCCAAACTACCCCGAGGGTGTGCTTTTAACTCTCCTGCCCCTTGTGACTTGTGCCCATCACATACCCTTTTCTCTCTGTTGCCCTGCAGCCCCTCCCTCATCGCAGGGACACTGTCCTTTGGACCTCACTCTGCCATCCTGCCCCCTCACAGCTCAGCAGACCACCCCTTCTCACCAGGTCCCCTCTAAGAATCTTAATAAATATTGGAAAATTGCTCTCAATAAGCATTAGGCAAATTTCTGTTAGGTCTGAGTTTAAAATATCTATAGTCTCTCAGCCTGCACTTCTAGTTGTAGACAATTAGAATTAATTGTAGAATTTACCTTAACGAGGGAATTGAGCAAGTTGGTAAACAGGTTAGCACAGGATGTTTTTCAATGTGTATGGTATCAAAAAAGACAATAACCAAGAATAATATCTTACAATCGGGATTTGTTAAATTATGGAGCATTCTATGATATAATATTCTATATCCATTAAAATGATTATATTGCTTTGCATTTATTGAAATGAAAAGATAGCCCTGACTTTTAAAGGAGCAGAGTGAACATATTTCAAACTAGCATTATATGCATGGTCAAATTTATGTAAAATTATCTGTGTGTGTGTATGTGTGTGTGTGTGTGTGTGTGTTTGGGTTTGAAAGTATGTTCAGTGAAATGTTTAAATGCTTATCAGGATGTAGTGATTTTGATTTTCTTTTTTCTACTTTCTATTTTTATTAGAATAATTATTTCTGTTAATAGAGAAAATAAAGCTGATTTTATAAGCAATGTCTAATTTTTACAGCCATGATAATTTTTATATTTTGACACACCCTTAAATTGCTGATGAGATTTTTTAACCTTTTCCCTAAACAGCTGCACTCTGACTATACAGTGAAAAGATCCTCAAACATTAAACTACTAGATGCCCAGTGCATGAAAATTCATGCACTGGAGTAGGGTCCCTCAGCCTGGCCTGCCCCTCTCATAGTCTGGGAGCCCTCAGGGGCAGGAGCTGACCTGGCGATCAGGGGAAGACGACGCCCCATCTCATCTCTGCTCCTGCCACTGCTGGCAGCGTAAGCCTTGGCCGGCCCTGGTTACCTGAGCCTTGGTCCGGCCCTGGGAGGCTGGGCAGCCAACATCTGAGGCTTGCCTGTGCCTCGGGCCGGCCGTGGGGGGCTGGGGGGCTGAGGGGGCTGTGCGACTCTGGAGGCAGGCACGCAGAGTGGCTGGGCTCGCCTAGGGGCAGGCCTGGCTTTGCCGTGCACCTGCTTCCCCATCGGAGCTGAGGGGACTGGGTGCCGCCATCTTGTGGCTGTGGGCACTGCCATCTTGGAAGGCATGGCAGTCAATTAGAATATTCCCTCCTTATTGGCTATGGGTGCTGCCCTCTTTGAGGGCAGGGAGTCAATTAGCATATTCCCTCCTTATTGGCTGTGGGTGCCGCCATCTTTGTGACAGCGTGAGGGTCAATTAGCATATTCCCTCTTTATTAGATAGGATGCTCTAGTCTTCACCAATTATCAGATTGTATATAAAAACAGTCTGAGGAATTTTGCCAACTATTTTAAATATTGTCAATTTAATAAGATTAAAATATCTTTATTGGCACAACAATATACCCAACACGTACACATATACATATATAAAGCAAAGGTTTTTAAATTAAATCTATTGGGATAATATTGGTCAATAAAATTATCATCTGTTTATTGCATTGTATATTCACCACCCAAAATAAATTCTTCCATCACTATGTATTTGACCCCCTTTACCATTTACTGCCTCCCTCCTACCCTGTTGCCTTCTGGTAACCACCATAATGGTGTCTGTGTTTATGAGTTTTTATTTGTTTGTCTTGCTTGCTCATTTGTTGTTTTCAGTTTTATATCCCACATATAAGTGAAATCATATGGGTCTTGACTTTTTCTGTCTGACTCCTGTTGCTTAGCATAATATTCTCAAGATCTCTCCATGTTGTCACAAATGAAAGTATTTCATTTTTTCTTATGGCTGAGTAATACTCCATGTATACATGCACCACATCTTCTTTAACATCTTCATTGTGTACATGTACCACAACTATTGAAGGACACTTTGGTTGTTTCCACATCTTGGCCACCATGAATAATGATGCAATGAACATAGGGATATATAGTATACTAGAGGCCTGGTGCATGAAATTTGTGCACTCGCACGGGGGAGGGGATCCCTCAGCCTGGCCTGTGCCCTCTTGCAGTCTGGGAACCCTTGGGGGATGTCCAACTGATGGCTTAGGCCCGCTCCCCACTGGGAGTAGGCCTAAGCTGACAGTCAGACATCCTTAGCGCTGCTGCAGAAGGGGGAGAGGCTCCCACCACTGCTGCTGCGCTTGCCAGCCATGAGCCTGGCTTCTGGCTGCATGGACTCCCCCTGTGGGAGTGCACTGACCACCAGGGGGCAGCTCCTGCATTGAGCATCTGTCCCCTGGTGGTCAGTGTGCATCATAGCATCTGGTTGTTCTGCCATTGGGCCCAAACCAGCTCTCTGACATCCCCCGAGGGGTCCTGGATTGCAAGAGGGCACAAGCTAGGCTGAGGGACTCCACTGGTGCACAGTCGAAGCTGGGGAGGGACATGGAAGGTTGGCCAGCTGGGGAGGGGCCGCAGGAGGGCTCCAAGGCATGTCTGACCTGACTTGTTCAGTCTTGATCGGCTGGACCCTAGCAGCAAGCTAACCTACCGGTCGGAGGTCTGCCCCCTGGTGGTCAGTGCATGTCATAGTGAGCAGTTGAGCAGCCTTGGCATATCATTAGCATATTATGCTTTGATTGGTTGAGCGGCTGACTGAACGACTAGACTCTTAGCATATTAGG